GGGGGGGGGGGGGCGTGTTAAATAGAAGCCAACAACTGGTTTCAGCTTAAAAGCTGAAGGACTGAGAACACCTCAAAGCACCTTAAGGAGAAATGCCTGGTCTCTAACATCAAATGCAGTCTATGTTCAGGTCCGTGGGCCAGTATTGGTCGTCCAGGTAGTGGTTGCTGTCTGTATTACTGTCTGTAGGGCTGCTAGGGAAACTGTGAGGAAGGCTGCTGGCAAGTTTCTGCTCCCACTCCTCCTCCACCAGTCTGTAGAGCTCCATGGATGTCTGAGCATCTTCCACTGATGAGTGCCCCCTCCGGCCAACCTGACAGCAAAGGAAAAGAGCCATGTTAGAGTACATAGTCAGCGAAGATCCTGCATGCTAAGCTCTCATATACTACTTATCCAGCAGGTTTTGTTGGACCAGATTCAAATACAACCAGGCCTCCACCCACATCTGCACCTCTAGCTTCTACATGTACTTGGCCCACATCAGCCAAGCACTGCCCTTACAACACCCCTGGGAGGTGCAGAACCACTCACCTGAATTTTTGTATGAAGCAGCTGCTGCGCCAGACTCTTGAGAGAGACACTGGCTTTCAAGGGGAATCCTGCCTTCTGGTTCAGCAAAGGGATCCGACTGGTATCTCGAGTCTGCTCTTTGGGGTGAAAATATTTGAGGGCTTGGAAGTCATTATGTATGGCATGGCCCACCACGATCTTGCCTTTCAGGATCTGCAGGACCTGGAAGTGTCAGAGGGGGGTCAGTTGGGCAGCAAGGCAAAGTCCACTGCACTGACTGGGTTACCTAGTCAGGCTCCCTAAGGAAATCGATTCCAAAAGTCCTCCAACAACTATCCAGAGACACCCTACAGTGAAGCAGGGACAAATGTCTCAGAGAAGCTGTCTTGCGGCGCCCTCCAGGGCAGGTTAAAAAATAGTATGAGAGAAGCGGAAGGCAGAGATAATGGTACATGAGGAGAAGCAGCCTAGGCATGCAGAGCATCCTGCTTTAGGCTGACATGCAGCAAACCAGACTTAGAGCCAGGACTGGGTGGTCAGGGGTTGACAGGTCCCACACCAATCAGGCCTCTACTGTGCTGGGTTTTGAAGAGCTCCAGAGTGAGCCTGGAAGGAGGACAGGTGGCAAAGCCTCCCTGCCTGCCATTGTCAGAGCAGCAACATCCCAGGGTCCTGCTGAAGGAAGAGCAGTTCCACCCCACCTGCCCTAAGAGGGAACAAAGCGAGACCTGCCCTCCCCACCCCACCCCACCCCCACGCTTACCTCTCTCTGCGCAGCTTTGAATGGGGTAGCGTTCTGCAAGTGCCGCTTGGTGATCCCACTCCACCGAGTCCTGTAGTCCACAATGGGGAGCTCCGGCCGGATATATTTGTCGTAGACAACATCTCCGTTGTAGCTGACCACTGTGCATCGTGCCAGCTCGCTCAGCTTCCCACCAGGACCCGTGCCCACCATCTCGCAGTCAATGGCTACATATTTCCAAGGTCTCTGGAGTGAGCAGGACAAGGAAACTCTGCCTGACTTGGAGCTCCCAGGCAAAGATAATCTGCATGCCAAGTCCTGGGGTGGTGAGAGGAGGCGCTGCCCTGCTGGACCCTCAGAACTGTCCGACTCAGCCTGTGACCGCACCTGCTTCCACTTGGTGAGCTTGGCATGGGTTTCTCCTGCAGGCTGCTCATGCACCACGGATGCTGGCTGCCCACAGCTGCCGGTTTTCTTGGCGAGTGGCTCCTGTGCCATATCTGCTTCTGGCAGCTGGAGTATAACTGGCTGGACCTTTTGTCCCAGCTTGGGCCCCAGGAGCCCCCTCTGCTCCAGCAGAGCCCTGCGCTTCATAAACCGCTGGTGCTTCCGGCTCTTCTTCTTAGTCTGAATCTGCAAGGCCTGACTGTCAGCCTCCGCTTGGAGGCACGGCTGGGCTTTGGACCGGGCACAGCACGGGTCCCGCTTGGCATAGTAGTACTCCAGGAGCCGGCCCTCCGACTCCTTCTGCCCCAGCCTGCCGGTCTTCACTGGCCGCAGGACACTTGGTGCTTGCCCCTTGCCAGCGGGCATCCTGCCAAAGCCAGCCAGGGCAACAGGTTAGTCGGTGCCTGGGCAACCAGGAGACACGTCACCCGCCGGCCCAGCCCCCAGGGGGACCGGGGATCTGCTATGCTATGGGCATGGGGCCAGCCTAACCCCCAGCAGTCACATGGCCCGGGGGCCTCCCACAGCAAGTGGGGGCGAAACAGGTGGCACTGCCACGGGCACCCCCCGCCCAGCCCCGGGAGCCGGATCTGCCCTGAGCTCATGAAAACACCCACGCGGGGAACGGGATCATTGCTCCGAGCCCTGGCACGAACCCACCTCGGACCCGCGCCGCGCCGCGCCGGCTCCACGTGTCTTTCCCGGAAGTAGCTGCGGCAATGGCTGCCACATGCCCGGGCAAGTCCCGCGCTCCGCCCCGCCCCGAGCCGCCCCATTGGCTCCTGGGGCGGGCTGATCTGCATAAAGGGCGGGGCGTGGGGTTTTTTTCCCGGGAATTCCGGGCGGGTGCTGGGAGCGGCGTGTGGGCGGGCAGCCCCGGCCCTGGGGCTTGTAGCCGGGGTCGCGGCCTCCGGGTACCCCGGGGAAGGGGCCGCTGGGGTCCTCTGGGCAGCGGGAGCCTGGGTCTTGGGGCTCAGGCAGAGGGAAGCGAGGGGCAGAGCGAGCAGAAGGGGCTGGTCTGCTCTGCGCAGGGGCTTGCTCCTAGGATGCCTGTCTGGCTTTGGGGAGTATGCGGGGGGGATACCATAATGAGCACTAAGTGTTGCAGGGGAAAGCCACTTTCTTGGCAGGGACCCAGGTAATGTATCTTTAGTCTCCCACTCTCACTTCCAGTGGGAAGATCTTGGCTATAGGTTGACTTTATGGTAATGGGAGACTCCTCCCTAGCTTGCTCCTATAGTCATAGGGCTGAAGGCAAATGAAACCCAGGGGCAGCCGAATCCCAAGCCAAACCCTGGGCACCCAAACCTTAGGCCTGCACGTAGGATGTCTGCCAGAGGATATGGGAGCATCTGAAGCCGGGGGTGGAGGTGGAGCATGCTTGCTGGTAGTAGGGCTGCATACGGTTCTTGAATGACTCCTGGATTTGGAACTGATTTGGCTGATTTGACTTGGGACACAAATTTTTCTTTCATGTTTTAAAAAAAAATAAAAAAAGGGGGGGGGGGCATGGGTATCACAGGTGTGCCCAGCAACCTCCATGGCAGGCCAGAGCCCCATGGCGCAAGGCACTGCACATGCCCAGAGCACAGCTCTGTTAGCACTTGGGAAGAGAGATTTGTATAATCCAGGTGTGATTGTAACGGCCAGTGTCTATATGTGGTGGTGTAACAGCTCTGCACGACAGACTTCTACTTGCACCCTGTTACATCAGTGGAATCCCCGGCCTGTTTGCAGGCTTTATAGGCTGGGAGATTTTATTCTGAAGCAACAGTGTCTTTCCCTCGTTTTGCTTCAGGTGTTTCCCAAGCAACCGAAGCCAAATGGCAAGGAGCATCGCACCGAACTAAGAGGGGATGAATGGGGGAGGAGGGAGGGAAGGGGGTGCCAGGGTAATAACTGTGGCTACAGCTACATTAAGGGCTCTTCCTTGGTGGAGGAGGACTGGTATTGTCACCCTGACACAGTGCTTCTTTCAAGGTTGCAACTAACCCAGCAAAGCTGCACGCTGCGTGAGCATAGTAAAACCATAGTAGATCCACCCCCACAGACCAAACAAGCTTTGCTCATGACAAACAGGGTTCTGCTGTTAAGACAGTTTCTGCTCGACAGGCATCTACTAGCAAGGCTATGATGGATGTGGGTGTCTTCACCTTTTAGGACCATGCCCGTTACTTGGGGTTTGAATTCTTGAAGCATCTCCTTCAGAGAGAGTCGAAGGGAGCATCTAAAATAAACACAGTCAGGTTTTAGTTTCTGTTAGGTGGGCTGCACTGGTCTGAGGTCGTGTTTAGGATATGTGTGGGGCTCTTATCTTTAAACCTGCTGGCATGCTGGGTGCTACCCCGGTCTCTCAGACCTGTGCAAAGGAGAATGGCAGGTAGCTGAGCCCTGCTCAGAATCTCATACCCAGCTTGGCTGGAGTTTATGGGAGCCTTCTTTTGTGACAAGAGACTTGGCTGCTCCAGAGCACAGGCCTCAGTGTACACTTGGGACAGGGCAAGGCCTTTCCAGTTAGCAGTCCATAAGGGCTAGCACCCCTTGGGCTGGACAGACACTCAGAGAAGCACCGGTTCCACTTCACATCAGGGGTTGCAACCCTTAATCCATTCCTCTGTATTTGGTACCTTTATGTATTTATTCACTGAGCTCTTTGGGCCAAGAGAGAGCCCTTTACAGATCTCCTGTTTCTTCCTCTACTTTCCCATATCTTTCCCCAGGAAAACACAGCTCTGAGGTGAATGAAGGACCTGGGGTTTTTTGATTTTCTTTTGGGGGAAACTTGTTTTTTACTCTATGATGTTTGAGCCTGGACCAGGATGGATTTACCCCACTGACCTGACATAGTGGGAAGAACTGAAAGCATCACATGGGCTGTAATGAAATCACCCAAAAAGCACAGGAAATAGGTCATGCTAATCTAATTAGCCCTTGGCTGCCAGCTAGGAGGCTGGGGGAGTCTGGTGCTTGCCACTGTGGACTGAAATAGGCCATCCCAGTCCTAGCTTTAGTCCCAGGCTTATACACTGTTTGCAGGTGATCAACCACTGCCAGCGCTAGACAGGCTTTCTCCAGCACTCACCCTACCTCTCATAAGTTGGTGTCTGTAGTAAGGGAACCCCAGGACTGGGGTAGTGAGAAGTATGGCAGGCAGCACTGTGCCTGCCATACATCCCTTCCCCTGCGGATAGGTAATGGTGGAGACAAGGAAACAGAGAACGTGTATGGCCCACAGGCCCTTGGATGAGGTGCTTCCAGATGTACAGAGCTTTGCCCTCGTCTTGTTTTTGCTAAGTCAAAGCCCAACACCAAAGCTGCCTTAGTGAATGAATAGCATCCCCAGCCTGCAGACAGGTTTGCTTCACTTGTGTTGGAGGCCTGCACTGGGATACTTAGGAGACAACAAGTTTGCCAGATGAAGGGGAATTTAGGGAAGGAGCTGTCTCAGCCACAGGCTGCTACTTTCAGCTCCTACAAGGTCACAATAAGGTTCGAGGTCTGCCCCATCTCATGATGGTGCACTGGGTTGCTATGGGTAAGATGCACTAGTTCCAGGAGCCAATAACATGGAGTGATGTGGTTAGCCTCATGTCTGCTGTTTCACTCAGGTCATGCAACTGGGTCAACCCGCTGCTTTTGGCAAGAGCAGAGCTCAAGCGCAGGCCTCTGGGTCTGTGGTGAGACACACTTTGCTCCTATGCCCCACACATGGCCTGCAGCGCCTACAACTCCTTAGCATCACCTGAAAGGCTGGGAGCAAGTGTATGGATTCATGATGGACTCCATGGCCCACTCTGAGATGAAGGAACCATGGTCTGGGCTAGGCTACCAGGGGTAGGAGGGCTGGGGGAGGGGGCTTCAATTAGTAGCTCTGTTTCAGATGGGCTGGAAATGAGCTGTCATTGTGTATTCCTCCCTTCTCTTGCTCCCTGCCTTCCAGTCGCAAAGCAGAAAGATGGCACTTGCCCTGGCAACGCACTGTACATTTGCATCAGTGTCTTCATGCTTCTCGTGCAGCAGGTGTGTGTGTTAGAGAGACCGTGCAGCTCTGTGCAAAAAACGGAGGAGCCCTGACCGGGAAGCACTGTTACCCCTTCACCTGCAGACCCCCAGCAGGCACTCCACGTTCTTGCAGCCACCGCCCAGCCCACGCTGAGCCGCCGACTTTATCTGCTGCAGTATCTATTTCCTCCCAGCCGCACTGCAGTATCTGGCCATTTTATCTATCAAACTACCGCATCTCCCAGTCTAGCACTGCCTTAGGAATCCAGACAAAAGGGCTGGAGCCCAGCATCCTGTTGCAGCCTGTTGCATGGCTCCTGTTCAGTGCTGGAGGGGCTCTCAAGTGCTGCTCTGGAGCAGTCTGAGGGCTGCAGCGCCTTCATTAGCCACCTCAGACAATTACTGTATTTTAATTCATTATCCCAGGGCCCTCTTGGCCTCCACTCCCTCCCTGGCCACCTCTCGTTAACAGTGGCCACTTCTGTCTGGGTTCGACTCTGTACTGCTCCTGCCAAGATCCTCCGTGCCTCCCCACATTGCAATCCAGGTCTAGGAGTGAAATAACAATTTGCACTCTCCTCCAGTGCAAATAAGATTTCTAATAGGGACAGGCGCCTGCTGGGTCCTTCGGCAGTGGGCTGGCAGGCGGCAGGGCCACAGCAGAGACTGCAAAGAACAATGTGCAAAGCAAGCTGGGGGAAGGTGGGTTGGGTAAGCACTCTCAGAAAGAAAGGATGGTGGAAACAGGAGCAGTTGCTGTCGGGCCCAGGGCTTAGTGTGACGCAGCCAGACTCAAGGGCCCTGTAATGGGGAGGGTTTTGTTCACCATCTGGTGAATTTTGGGCCCCCTTCCATTACTGAGCCTGGATCAGGTAGAGCCAAAGACTCAAACTAGCCACCTCTCCCCACTTAAGGTAGCGAAAGAGGATGACAGGGAAGCACAAGCAAAACGAGGAGCATGAATTCGACACGGCTGCTGGAAAAATGTCATGTTGACTTCTACAAAAAATCGTGAATGAAGCAAGGTTTCATCTGAAATGCTAGCAGAATTTTTCTGACTCTTCCGCCCCCTCCCCTGGAAGGGCGTAGGTTTGAGGGGAGGGATTTTTCTTGCACAGCCAGACTGTTCCAGCTGTGGGCTTCTGGCATTTTCTTTGAAAAATGTCCATTGCAGTAAAAACCTGGTTTTGTTGGGAAAAAAGTATTTGGATGAAAAGAAAAAAAAAAAGCCAGTCAGGCTTGTCATGGATGCTGTGAATCTCATCTGATCTCATTGACCCTTTCCTTTTACTTTCTTTTCTTCTTCGCTTCATCCCCCACTTACCCTTTCCATCCTGACTGACTTGCTTTTCAGTCTTCTCTTTCCATATTTCTCTGAAAGGCAATGTCTCTTCCTCTCCTTTGTCTTTCCCCTCCTTCTACTTTTCTCTTCCTGAACAGTCCCTGTTGTGTAATCTCTTCCTTTGCTCTCCCCTGTTGTCACTAATCTCTGTAACCCCTTCCTCGCTCACCCCATAGTCTCTCTCCTTAGTCCTGCCTCTTTTCTTTCCAAAGGCACAAAGGAGCAGACCCATCCCGCTCTAGCAAAGGGTGGTATATTGTGTATATGTGAGGCTGTGAGTTCCCCAGGACTGGGCTTCTGCATAGGGAATGTGTGCAATAGCAGGGAGTGTTAATGGTGAGATGCTAACTACATGCCAAGGTGCTGCATTCACTGGGATCAGCATCCGTT